ACACAAACACACGCACACACCCCCACAGACACGCACACACACACACACAGAGACACGCGCACACACACACACAGACACACAGAGACACACACACACAGAGACACGCGCACACACACACACAGAGACACGCGCACACACACACACAGAGACACGCGGACACGCGCACACAGAGACACGCGCACACACACACACAGAGACACGCGCACACACACACACAGAGACACGCGCACACACACACACAGAGACACGCGCACACACACACACAGAGACACGCGCACACACACACACAGAGACACGCGCACACACACACACAGAGACACGCGCACACACACACACAGAGACACGCGCACACACACACACAGAGACACGCGCACACACACACACAGAGACACGCGCACACACACACACAGAGACACGCGCACACACACACACAGAGACACGCGCACACACACACACAGAGACACGCGCACACACACACACAGAGACACGCGCACACACACACACAGAGACACGCGCACACACACACACAGAGACACGCGCACACACACACACAGAGACACGCGCACACACACACACAGAGACACGCGCACACACACACACAGAGACACGCGCACACACACACACAGAGACACGCGCACACACACACACAGAGACACGCGCACACACACACACAGAGACACGCGCACACACACACACAGAGACACGCGCACACACACACACAGAGACACGCGCACACACACACACAGAGACACGCGCACACACACACACAGAGACACGCGCACACACACACACAGAGACACGCGCACACACACACACAGAGACACGCGCACACACACACACAGAGACACGCGCACACACACACACAGAGACACGCGCACACACACACACAGAGACACGCGCACACACACACACAGAGACACGCGCACACACACACACAGAGACACGCGCACACACACACACAGAGACACGCGCACACACACACACAGAGACACGCGCACACACACACACAGAGACACGCGCACACACACACACAGAGACACGCGCACACACACACACAGAGACACGCGCACACACACACACAGAGACACGCGCACACACACACACAGAGACACGCGCACACACACACACAGAGACACGCGCACACACACACACAGAGACACGCGCACACACACACACAGAGACACGCGCACACACACACACAGAGACACGCGCACACACACACACAGAGACACGCGCACACACACACACAGACAGACAGACAGACACACACACACACAGAGACACACAGACGCAGCGTTCTCACTCAAGAAAATCAAAACAACAACATAGAACTAAAAAAAAAAGACACGGCTAAACCAATCTGCACTGAGCAACCGGAGCATACTTAACAGAAAGAGGAGGAGCCTCACTACAGACACAGACTGACATCATCTCACTCAGCTGCGTTTCTCCCAGAACCAATCACTTTCTCATCCTCCTCCGATGGGTTTCCGAGAAGTATATGAGGGAAAATATTCCTTTTTTATTTCTTCGTACGCATTCTCGATGTACTGAATGCAACAGAAAGGTGTTATTGACTTGAGCGTAAACCTATATCGTCGTGCGTCGCTTGAGTTTGGAAATCCTGTCCTCGTCCAGCACTTTTGATTTGTTTTGTGTTTTTCGTTCGACGCCCTCGTTTCTCCTCGTCTTTTTCTTTGGGCTGGAAATGTCACTCGCACACGCAAATCTATATATAAATCTATTTTTATAAGTCATTGCTTTCTGTTTCCGTGTCTTATACCCTCATCTCTTCGTGTGCTTCGGAGCGAATGGAAAGAAGGTGTTTGTGTGTTTAGTCTTTGGTTGGACTTGGTCTGGGTTGCTGGTTCGGTCGTGTTTCAGATGCATTGTGAATGAAGACGTTTTCCTTTTGTGTGATGCCTGTCGCCACCACGGCTTGATTCAGCAGTGTTATCCTCAGCCACGTGTGTGTGTGTGTGTGTGTGTGTGTGTGTGTGTGCGCATGCAGGTATGTGTGCACCTGTGTGTTGGTGGTGTTAGAGTGTGTGTGTGTGTGTGTACTGAATCAGTACTCAAACTTGGCATGCTGTTCAAACTGGATGCTAAAAGACTTTGGGGAGGATTTTATAAATGTTAATTATGTATCTATGTATAGTATGTATGTATGTAAAAGAAATCAATGGAGAAAAAAAAATGGTGAAGAAAAAGCAGTGTGTCGTGTGATTGGTTCTCAGCCGGGTGAAGTTCAGCGTTCGTTTCTCTGAAGTCTCTGTTTTTTTTCTCTCTTAATTAATTAGTCTTTTTTCGTGATTCTCTGAATCCTTCGTTCTGGTTTTGAACATTCTCTGCATTCAGCGTCTCTTATGCTCGTTTTTTAGGCCATCTTTATTTCTGATGAAAACAAATCAGATGAAACTCTTTTAAGGCGAGACGCTTCAGGCAAAACCATTGCTTTTCATCCAGATTTGGGGCTGTTTTGCTTCCATAGCATGTCCTCTTGCAGAAAAGTGAGGAAAAAATATCCAAAATACACATTTTAGTGTTTATTTTATTGTAGTTTATATATTTGCATCTGTAGATTTCAGTTTCAGTCCATATCTTGAACGGCTTCAGCAGCGCTTACATTATTCTCATAAAGGTTTTTACTGAGGGGTTTGTTTATATAACATTCACCTGCTCTTATACATTTCATTCCTAAAATCATGGTGAAAATTTATTTTTGTTTGTCTGATTTTTGGAGTGATAAAAAGAAAAGTAAAAAATACTTTCTATATAAAACCTTTAATATATCAACAAAATCAAACCAGAGTTTACCATCTTGCTTTCTGTTCTGGAAATGTATGCAAATATATACATATAAAATTATTTTATATATATATATATATATATATATATATATATATATATATATATTTTTTTTTATTTATACACACAGACATACAAATGTGTGTT